GCCAAAGGAGAAGAAACCTAGAAGGAGCAAGGGCGACTTTAGGGAAACAGCAGCCAAATCCAGCTGCTTAATAAGAGAGATTCAGGAACATACTTAACAGGGTTGTTGTGGGGATCAAATGCTGGGGGAGGAGAACCATGTAGGTAAAGGTAAAGGAAGAATTGATGATTTTGAATTCTGGTGCTGGAGGAGACTCTTGAGAGTCCCATGGACTGCAAGAAGATCAAACCTAGCCATTCTGAAGGAAATCAGCCCTGAGTGCTCACTGGAAGGACAGATCCTGAAGCTGAGGCTCCAATACTTTGGGCCACCTTATGGGAAGAGAAGACTCCCTGGAAAAGACCCTGATGTTGGGAAAGATGGAAGGCACAAGGAGAAGGGGACGACAGAGGACGAGATGGTTGGACAGTGTTCTTGAAGCTACGAACATGAGTTTGACCAAACTGCGTGCTCTGGTCCATGGGGTCACGAAGAGTCGGACACGACTAAATGACTAAACAACAACAAAGGTAAAGAACCCCTGGACGGTTAAGTCCAGTCAAAGGTAACTTTGGGGTTGCGGCGCTCATCTCACTTTCAGGCCAAGGGAGCTGGTGTTTGTCCACAGACAGCTTTCCAGGTCATGTGGCCAGCATGACTACACCACTTCTGGTGCAACAGAACACTGTGACAGAAGCCAGAGTGCATGGAAACACCATTTATCTTCTTGTCACAGCAGTACCTATTTATCTACTTGCGCTGGTGTGCTTTCGAACTGCTGGGTTGTCAGGAGCAGGGACAGAGCAACGGGAGCTCACCCCGTCGCGGGGATTTGAACCACTGACCTTCCGATCGGCAAGCCCAACAGCTCAGTGGCTTAGACCACAACGCCACCCGCGTCCATGTGCACCACCTGAGAAAAAGATGGCAAATAAATGCAATAAATAAATAATATGCATATGTATTTTCCAATGTTTCCTCTCTCCTCCCCACTTTAAAAAAAAATATTAAAGCATAATCTGGACTTATGGATTTCTGTGGATAGGGGTTCCTGTTTCACCAGTCACCTTCCAGCATTTTCGTATTCAAAATCACCTCCCCGGTGCTGTTTTTCATCCTGTAAAGAACAAGATGGCAATATTTGTACAGGTGAAAAGCAGTCTCGGGAGGCCCCTTTCCAAACATGCATGGGAGCAGATTTCTGTGCTAGCTTCCTTCTTCCCCAAACAGCCACCTTTGCAACAGAGCTCATTGGACTTTTCCTCTCGTCTTTTCCTCTTGCAACGGAGGGATTTATGTTTGGGCCACATCCATGTAAAATATTTATCCAGCCATGAATTATTTAATATTTAGGAAAAACTTTCACCATTTTTATGCATGTGGCCAGCTGTGCCTGGGACCCATAAACAGTTTTATGATCCAAATCAGCTCAGCAGGCTGTCTTGGAGCAATCCATTGTTTCTGCTGGGCCAAGAGCTGATACTCTTTGCTGCATCCATTATTTATTTTTTTGCAAAGATGACAATTTGCCGTGCTAGGCGAGCGAGGCTGTCTGACCCAGAGCACCAGCCACAGAGCCTTTCAGCTTTGGGGATGTGCAGGGATGCAACTCTTAATATACTGCACTACTGAGTTTGTTGCTGGCATCTGTCTGTCTTGGGAGACAATGGAGTGTGCCTTCAGGGGTAAAGTCAAACTGCTGTGATAGCAGCACTGAAGTGACCTCCTCTGGGTAGGTGCGCAGCTTGTTTGGAGGTCCTGGGCTGCCCAGATGTCAAGAACCACCCCCTCAGACTTGTTGATGTGGTCCAAAGGAAAGCAAAGCAACACGTTTGGCACCAGCTTGGCTGCAGGAGTTGCTGGAAGGAGGAGTACAAGGTACCATCCAGCCGTCACAGGCATGGCCAAACTTGGCCCTCCAGCTATTTGGGACTACAATTCCCATCATCCCTGACCACTGGTCCTGTGGTCTAGGGATGATGTGAGTTGTAGTCCCAAAACAGCTGGAGGGCAAAGTTTGGCCATACCTAGTCTTAGGGGCTCCACTTCAAATTTATGTAGGGTTTACTCCTTAGCCTTTTCTTCTTCCAAAGATATTCTGCAAGGCAGTGGTGGTTTAGGATCAGACTTTTCCTTCTCCTAGATAGGCTCCCTTCCTAGGTGGATGAGCCCAATTTGCAGAGGAACATGTGCAGAAACTACCTTCTTGACTGCTATTTTTTCTGGGAAAAGAAGTACCAGAAATCACCACGAATGCTTCCCTTGTTCTCTTACAATGGCAATGGTGCCCACCTGAGAGGTGCCAGAACTGAGTTCTGGCTGAAAAAAATAGCCCTGCATTTCAACTCCAGAACTAGGGACCAGAAAAGGCTGAACAGAGCCTCACTTCAGCGAGCAGGTGGCTGCCATTCATTTCGTTAACTGAAACAGAAATTATAGAAGGCAGGAGCTCAAAAAGAACAATGGGATGGTGGGCGCTGAGTCAGAAGCAGGTCGTGGCAAACTTAACTCTCTCTTAAGGTGCCACCTGCAGCCTCAGAACAGAAGGTGACCTTACAGAATGAGGCAAAGGCTCCAGCCTAGCCCAGCAAATGCAACCGTCTCCTATTCCGAACCCACAGCTGTTCTCCTCAATTTGATCTCAAGAGGCACACTCAAGATTCTGATCTGTTCCATTCAAAAGCAAAACAGGAATTCTCTCCCTCCCCAGCTCTGAGATTCTCATCCCCCTCCCTTTACTTTCTTTCTCACATCTCCTGTGGCCCAAAAGTTCCCAGGCTACTCTTAGCTAAAATCCTTTTAGCAGCCTCACATAGCCTCCACTTTCAGGGTTGCCCAACAATTTCTCTTGCTGAGCCAGGGTTTTAATCATCCTGGCCGAATAGTAGAATGGGAAGAGGATAACGGCCTGGCTGCCGTTGCCTATGCTTTAGTTTACAACCAGACATGACGACTGTAATGTGTTATACATGAAATTGCCCTTGAAAAGCCTTTGGGAACTTCAACTGGTTCAAAATACAGCAGCTAGTCTATCGGATAGAGCTAGGCATGGGGAAGGTATTGCAAAAGCTCTTGAATAAATTCATTGGTTCCCGGCCTGTTTGAAGACGCATTTCAAGCTCTTAGGTTAGACCTTTGAAGTCCTGAATTCCTTGGGCCCTGAAGGGCAGCTTGCTATCCTTTGAATCTGATGAGCAGTTGAGATCTTCATCACAGGGCCTCCTCTGGGTGCCTCCAGCTGTGAAGATTGGCAGATGACAGGAGGTTCAAAAGAGAGAGACCCTGGATTTGAAATTCCCCCATGAAGATCTGCCTGGCTCCTTCTCTGTTATTGTCTTGAAGACCTACACTGATCTCACCCACCCATGTTAGCCATTGGATCTCCTTAGAACACAGAGACAATATGCCCTTGAATACCACTTTTTGGGATCACATATGGGGAAAGTTCTGTTGTCCTTGGGTCCTGCTTGTGGGCTTTCAATAGACACTGACAGGGGACTGCCATCGGAACAGGGAAGGGAGGCAGAGGGGCCGTTGGGATACAGGGAGCCTCCAAAAATCTTGCAAAGCAGTTCCTCTTCCTGCGGTGGGGAAAGCCACACCTCCAGTGGGGAAGAGGGGAAGGGACCAGAGGATGCTACTGGGAGCCCCAGCGTTGCACCTCATCAGTCTGAGGGTGGGGGAAGCCACACCTCCAGGGTAAAGGAGGGGAAGGGGCTAGAGGATGCTGCGTGGAGCCTCAGCACTGCTCCTGGTCAAGCCGGCCAGGAGGGAAACACACCTCTTCCATCACCCACCTTGCGCAGAGGAGTAAAATGCAAAGAAGGAAGGAAACAGCTGGGGGTGACTAAGTTCTTATGTTGGGGGAGGACCCAGAAAGAGCCACTTCCGGATTCTGCTAGCGATTGAGGCAGACATGTACTGATGGTTCTGCACTGTAAATAGTTTTGCACCAAAATAAAACCTGTAAAAGACAGGTCGGAGTCCTGCCTGGTTACTCACAAGCAACCACCAATGACATCTGACAGACACATAGTTGGCCACTGTGAGACCAGAATGCTGGACTAGATAGGGCTTTGGGCGACCCAGCTGTTATGTTCCTATAACAGCAATGGTAAGTAACTTTTTTATTTATTTATTTTTGCATTTCAGGTGCTGCACTGCAACCTCCGAGGACCCCATAGCCTTAACCATGTCAGTCTATTGCAGCAAAAACAGTTATGAGTCTCTTGACACCTTTAAAAGTACCAACAAGTTGGCTTAATCTTCATGGGCTACAGTCTACTTCCTCGGATGCATAGCGCGTTATCCTGAGGTCCAGATATATAATTGTCAGGCGTCAGCGGATCCAACCCCCACTCCCCCATGATAGGTTGCCCAGAACTGATAAGACAAGGAAAGTTCTTACCAATTCTTTTTATTCAATATTCAAAGAGAGAGGCTTAGAAATGCAGCCTCTTGGATTAATGGTGTTGCTCCAAGTGAAATCCCACCCTCTCATCTCTCCCACTTCCTCATGAGTCATCGCTATGGGTGCTGAAAAGTGCCTTTGAGCTGTTTACTCCCCTACTTTCAAGGCCCGCCGTGTTCTGGGAGAGGGGGGTCTGGAATGCTTTCTAAAGACGCTGTGTCCGTCAGCTGTCTCTCCTCTGGTGATTCTTCTTCCTCCTCCTCCTCCTCTCCCATTATTTCCCAGTTTTTCCCCTGCCTCTGAGCTGTGACCTCCCTCAAACCCCTTTTGTAATTCTGAACAGTCTCCTTCTTCTCTGGAAGGGTCAGGCTGTGGAGGTGGCTTCCACCATTCCTCCTCTGCCCAGTCCCTGACAATAATTGATGAAGGGAATTGATTTGAAGTCAGCAGGAATGAAGCAAAGAAAAGTACAGGCAACAATAATAATTGTGGCCATTCATACACATAAACCAGCTGACGTTAATACCGTAGACATCCTGGCATTGCTAAGCCACGGCTGGACTAGAAACTTGCTCCTATGACCTTTCACAAACTGAAGTAATTGGGGGCAGGCCATAGCTCAGGGGGAGAGCATCTGCATGGCATTCAGAAGATCCCAGGTTCAGTCCCCGGCAACTCCAGGTAGGGCCCACGGTCTGAATGCCCAGAGAGTTGTTGTCAATCGGTGTGGACAATATTGAGCAAGATGGATCAATCAATCATCTGATATGGTACAAGTCAGCTTCCTGTTTTGTTCCTATGCTGCACCCAAATGTGAATTGGCTTCAGTTCATGCACTCCAGACAGCCGCACAGATATGACTAACCAAATGGAAGAGACAACCCTGACCAGTGAAGAATGGCAAACCAAGTTGATGGACTATGCCGATATAGCAAAGCTAACTGGGAAGCTCAGAAATCAAGAAGGCAAGAACTTTAAAAAAGAATGGGAAAAGTTTATGATTTATATATGAGATCATTGTAAGCAGGTTAAAACACTGGCAGGATTTTAACCACATTTGTAATGGAATGGAATGTACGGATGATTTAGAAAGACAAAAAAATGGAGAAGTATTGATATGCAGTTGAAAATATCATCAGTAAGACCCATGGAAGGGATGGGGTAAAGTCAGGAGATTCAAAGTAATCTCAATATTTGGATTCTGAATTGGTTTTTGTTGTATGTTGATATTTTTGAAATTCAAATAAAAAATTATTTATAAAAAATAAAATAAAATTCATGCATTCCATAGTGCAAAAAGGGAGGGATCCTTGAAATTTAAACTTGACTCTGCTTCTTTAGACGTCTTTCAAACAGCTCCATGTATTTCTTGAAGTGATCTCGAGACTTGGATTTTCTTTCTAAATCCAGCTCTCACTGCACTCACGGAGGATTATAGCCAACTCAAAGACTTGGGAGCATAATGCTCTTAACACACTCATCTTGTGATTTGAGACAGCTCCCTGCCTCCTGCTCCACGCAAGAAACCCATCACTCATTCCATACCCAAATTAGAAAAGCTTGACATTATTAGAAATTAGAACTGCTTGATGAGGCTTCTGCGAGTGGCTCGGTGGAATAATTTGGGTTAGAAAAAACCTCAGCTGGATTGCCAAATCCATCCCGCTTGTGTTGTAAAAGCAACCATTCGGCAGAAAGTAGGAGCACGTCATTTGGAATGACTCCGCTGGTGGTGATTCCAGTTGCCTCTCAGAACTACTGAGTAACCTGCTTAACAGCAACACATCTCCCTCCCCTTCCCCTGATGTCCTTAGACCTGACTGTTTCTGTATTGCTTCATGTTAGATTTCACAAGCAAGCTGAACACCAGAACTCTGTACCTCAGGATCCTCAGCATTGCAGGATCTTCTTGCTTCAGATCACAGCTGAAGTGGTAAATATATATATATATATTTAATTTTTATTAGGGGTTTAATTAGGGAGTCTGCCTGCCTCCTCCCGTTCAGCCACCCTACAGCTGGTGGGGAGGCAGTGGGCGAACCATTTGGGCAGCGCAGAGCCTGCATGCGCCCAAGCCACCATGTCTCTCCCAGGAGAGACGCGTGGCTTGGTTTTCCCAGTAGTGATGTATGGAAGTGAGAGCTGGACCATAAAGAAGGCTGATCGCTGAAGAATGGATGCTTTTGAATTATGGTGCTGGAGGAGACTCTTGAGAGTCCCATGGACTGCAAGAAGATCAAACCTATCCATTCTGAAGGAAATCAGCCCTGAGTGCTCACTGGAAGGACAGATCCTGAAGCTGAGGCTCCAAGACTTTGGCCACCTCATGAGAAGAGAGACTCCTGAAAAAGACCCTGATGTTGGGAAAGATGGAGGGCACAAGGAGAAGGGGATGACAGAGGATGAGATGGTTGGACAGTGTTCTCAAAGCTACCAGCATGAGTTTGACCAAACTGCGGGAGGCAGTGGAAGACAGGAGTGCATGGTGTGCTCTGGTCCAGGGGGTCACGAAGAGTCGGACACGACTAAACAACAACAAAATTTAAACTGGAATTTAAGACTGAAGAGAAAGGAATGTTGTATTAATTGAATCTCATCTGGAAGCACAATCTAGATACGGAAGAGAACAAGTACAGACAACTCATCTCAAGAGAGAATAACATTTTCAGGAGCCTAATGAAGGCATGCTCTGTAACTGGAATATTACTCTCTCTGTGTGTGTTTTAAAAAAATTGGATTAGTTATTCACTGTAACAATAAAAATGGGTACTTGTTGCAATTACATTAATTATGTGGAAGAACCACTTTTTGACATATGAGATGTAATAGGCAGTTCCAAAGGAACCACATTGTCAGTTAGCATTAATTAATATCCCATTATTGTGGAAGCGTTATGATCCCTCATTCTTATGTCATTTATCATGATGAGCACATGTTTGTGATTCCTAGGGAGTGAAATGGAGAACTGCTTAGTAATTAGTCAGAAGGACCTGAAAATTACTCTTTCATTTCTAGGCAAAGAGAGAGAAAACTGAGGAACCCTGCAAACCAGATCTGATGTCCCCACACCCATGAAAAAGACTTGAGAGGCAACAAATTGCTAGGAAAGGTCATATTGATTAAATATAGCAAATTGAAGACCTGCCGCCTAATTAGCCGAACTGAGAAAGTATAGGGAAAGGGGTAGGGAACTTCTAGAATGCATTGAACTACATATCCCACCAGCTCCTGTCAGCATGGTCAGTGGACAGGGATTATGGGAATGGTAGTCTAGCAACACAGAAAAGTCTCCCTGATCTGGAAGAGGTGTGCTGTTGTAGACTAAGGGAGCAAGAATAAGGGAGTTGTACTGAACTGAAAAGCATTTCGGGTATGAAAGGAACTGTGTATCTATTCTTAAAGTGGAGTCTATTTTTTAAAAAAATAATTTTCAAATTGGAGAAATATATGAGCCACAATTTTTTTGTGTGTGAATTTTTTACACTGTAAGACAGGCATGTCCAAAGTCCATTTTGGCGGCCCAATCCGGCCCGCTGGTTGATGTAATCCGGCCCCTGTGATAGTATATGTCCTGGGGTAAAATCCTTTAAAAATCTTGAGAACTTTGGGAAAAATTGTAAAAGAAGCTCAACGACTTCAATCCTAAAAAAAGCTCAGCAACTCTGGTCAGCCCTCACACATGTTCACTTCATCAAATCTGGCCCTCTTTGAAAAAAGTTTGGGCTCCCCTGCTCTAAGACAATCAATCAAGGCCCCATTATCTGGGTTTTATATTACGCCTTTGTGAAACATCCTAAGAGAAACTCCTCCAAGGTCATAGAAAGCCACGTTGCTGGTTTCAGTACAATAAAACGTTGGCCAACAGTCTGTTAGACGAAAGATCTTTTATTGTGTGCTCTAGCTGAGCTCCCACAAATCTGCCTTCAGCTTACTGTTGAAAAGGAGAGGTGTCTGGCTGAGACGCCTGAAGCTTCCTGGTCCTTTTCCCCCAACGCCTCACCCCTCTCTGGAACCTGAGCTTCTCTTCTCAATCCCTTTACTTGGGATCCTTTCCTTTTGTTTCCATCACACTGGTCAAAGCCAAACCCTTAGGCAAAGCTTGAATGAGATGAGAGGAACTCTGCCACACATATAATCTGTACAATAACAACCACTCCAGCAAGTGCCTTGCACATTAATCCTACAGGATCCCAGTAGCGTCTTTGATTCCCATTGTGATTGTGATGTCTCTGAAGCACGATAGTTTTGGAGAAATGGCTTTCAAACTGGAATAGCTAGATTGATATGGCTTCTCTCTGTGTTTTGCCTTTGATACTGCTTCATAATTATGCTGTGGTGCTTTTGTCCTGGGGGCAGTCAATGGTCTGCAGTACCAGCATCTCCCCCCCCCCAATGTTAAAATAATAATAACTATTATTATGATGATTATGATTATTTCCCCAGCCACTCTGGGTGGCTCCCAACAGAATATTAAAAACACAATAAAACACCAAACATTTAAAAACTTCCCTAAACAGGGCTGCCTTCAGATGTCTTCTAAAAGTCAGGTAGTTGTTTACTTCCTTGACATCTGATGGGAGGGTGTTCCACAGGGCAGGCGCCACTACCCAGAAGGCCCTCTGCCTGGTTTTCTGTAACCTCACTTCCATAGCTGTCAACCTTCCCTTTTTTGGTGGGAAATTCCCTTATTCCAGCGCCGTTTCCTGCTGCTTCCTGCTGCTATCCCGGATTGTTAGATATCCCGTAGACTGTCCCTGGGACAGGTGAGGCTGCTGATCCCTTATTTTCGAGGCTGCTGATCCCTTATTTTCAAATCTGAAAGTTGAGAGCTGTGCTCACTTCTCGCACTGAGGGAACCACCAGAAGACCCTCGGAGCTGGATTTCAGTATGGCAGTTACTATAAGAACTTCATGGTGAGTACCAGCAGCTTCCTCCCCCCCCCCCCCAAAAAAGAGCACTGGTGCTAACAGGGTCGGATCATGGATGGTTATGGTTATGGTTATGGATGGCCTGTCTTACAATAAACCACGAGCAAATCTTTGGAAGAGAGTAGCTGCTCATTCATTAACAGTTTAGCAGAGCAGATACAAGGCACAAAGAGAGCCAGATGGAGGGATGTTTAAAATATAGGTAGTGCTGCAGAAAGCTTTCGGAGTATAATTGGTTGTGAATACGGAAAGGCCATGGGGGCATCTGCCTGGCTCTGAATGAGGTTGAGGGAGATTGCCTTCCACCTCCTGTCCTCACAGTAGCAAACCAGATGCCTATTCAATGGGTCTGAGTTGAACTAGCACTGGATACATCCCTGTATGCATGACGTGTGTATAAAGTGCTATTTTTGGCCTAAAAAGTATCATGTGGCTCAGGATCCCAATGCCTCAAGGATGTGTGGGTCTAGATTTGGCCTCTACAGTCACTTACGGACTCACTGTTAAAATCATGTTTATGGAAGACAATCTTACTCGGCTACAAGGGATTGCCAGAGAAGAAGAAGAAGAAGAAGAAGACCTCAAGGATGCCCTTTCCCCATCTGAGCAGACCCGGACCCTGTGATTATCATCTAAGGCCCTTCTTCATGTGCACTCTCCATGGGAGGTCTGGAGGATGTCAACATGAGAACGGGCCTTTTCAGTGGTGGCTCCTTGCTCGTGGAATGCTCTCCCTGCAGAGGCTTGCCTG